TAGTAAGCTCCATCGTACGGCCAATGTTTGACTGCAGGGTACATTCCATTGTAAAATTTGAGATACTTCCAAAATCGGTCCCGGGTGCATTACCGAAAGGTTGTGCACTTCCCATTTCCCTAAGTGTCACCCATCGAGTAGGCGTACTGCAGGAACGTTTAGGTAAGATACCTATGCTTGTTTTCTGTCAACTTCTAATATCACCTGTATATTTGACCCCGTAATACCGATTTTCGGATTGACGTTCCACTTCGTGAGAAAATCAGATGTGCAGCTTGGCAATTTAATTAAAAAATCAATTTGATTAATTAAATTTAATTTAAATCGATTTGTTCCATCAGTCATGCAAATAACGTTGAAGTCAGGGCCAGAACAGAGTTATCGACAACGGAAGAGGTTTTCATTTACAGAACATCAAATACACACCAGCAAATTACAGCCAACTTGACGGCCAACATACAACCACGGGCAACTTCCCTGGATTCAAACGACGCAGTCCCGCCGATGTTTTGCTTCTAGTAGCTTAGAAGACAGTTTATGCGGGCCACAGCACTATGGTATATTCCTGCCTGTAGAACATCGTCATAAAAGAGCACTACTTTTGTCGGATCGACCAAAAATGATCCGCAGACAAATGTAACAAAACTAAACCTCAGTATTTACTAGCAAACTGTACGCTTTCGCTCCAGTCCGCATGAATAACAATTTCCGGTCTAATCTCCGGATTCACATGGCGCAGTCACATTCAACCACACAAATGCTTCACCATAATGAATTGAGGCATCGAAGCCAATGGGCACATGGAACGATCCTGCCGTCAAAACGTGAACAACATAAAGGTAAGTACTTAAGAACTAACGCATCATATGGTAAAAATACGTATATATCGTTAATACGAATAATTTGAGGAAGCCATTCCAAAATAACTAATATTTTCCATACAATTGCAGAAGATAAGAAATCATGAAAAACATTTTGATCATCAACAAAGTAGATAGTCTTAGAGGACGTCAATCAGACCTTGATAAACCAAACTGACGTACCGCTTTCGCGTCGGTATCACTTCCCCGTTCGTCTTTGACCAAGAAGCCATTATATTTGTCGTGTTAAATTTACTTAAGTATGCGTATAAATTACCAGCAGAGGACACTCCCTTACAGCCCTTTGAACCCAAATTCTTAAAATATTCCGGGAAAATCCTGTTTACGCCAGTAGCCTTACTGTTCTTCGTGGCGGTCAATGCCACTTTATTTCCACTACAGTGTACGGGCTGGATAGAGGGCTTTTTTACGGCAAGTGCTAACAATAATCAACGCCACTGAAGGATTAGAAGATATTTTCTGCATTGGTATGGCGCGGTCCCTGTCGGCCAGTGCTGAAGGTACCTGGACGAAGTGAGCAGCAATGACGTCGATAGAACCTTTCCCAAATCGGTGCTTTGCAAGTTCAGCAGCACCAAGTCGGTAGTGCAGTACCCATCGCTTGTGGCTGGAGTATGTGAAGCAAAGCGTGTCCCCAGTCTCCCTTCGTCGTCTCTGCCGTCTTGAATTCTGGGATTCGATTAAAGCAGATGCAATTTAAGGGGATCCTGACATCGGCATCTCCCGAAAAGGTCTTCCGTCTCCTTTGTTCACTAGGGTGTGCAGGTCTTCCTGTACCCACGAAGAACGATAATTGCCTCAAAAGAAGTCAATATTCGCATAAAAATGCTGAAAGATTTAAGCGCAGCGACGAACCTTTGGTTGCGGTCTTCGATCTCGGCTGTGTACCATGACCAGGTTATATATAAAAGTTCCAGCGCGATAGCAGAGCAGACTCAATAAGCAGTACCTGCAGGATTCAAAGCACTACATGGTGAAGCTGGCTTTTTGGTAAGAAAAAGAATCCACGAATTCCTGCACGTAGAGAGGAGTCGCCTATACTGCCCGTAGAGAAGAAGCGGAGGTGTCCGGCTAGTTTTCTATCCTGATCTGTAGGTACTTTGTTGCGTAGCAGTGTGGCACAAGTATATACCGGCTACTGATGTTCAATCGATTAGCTGCTCGATCACCGTATCGTTCACTGGTAGCGCCATGC